AACCCTTGCGGGTTTAGGGATTGTAGTGGGATTTGCGAAATATATCCTTAAAAGGTAGGTTCCTAGTATTGGACTACGAATAGTCTACCCTCCCCATAAGGTGGTTTCTTTAAGGATATCATGAATGACACTAGAGGGAAAGGCATAAGGGCCTTCCTTAAGTGGAGTCTCTTTGCAGACCGAAACTTTCGTCTCTAGGTCATGAAGGGTCTCATCATGAGATTTTGGTTAAGGGTTGTACAAAGAGTCATATGTGTCATTCCAAAGTCCTACTTCCCAACAATATGTCTCTTGAGAGTATTCCTTTCGAGGAATTCCACTGACTCTAGGCGAAGTTGTCACATAAACTCATAAGGCTGATGTATCCCCTTGGCTAATAGACGAACCTTTTTCCTAAGGGTTTTTGAAAATATTTTTTGCAAAATTTAAATCCCACCACAGATATAATAATATAATGAATAATAAATAAAAATAAGCATAAAATAAATAAATAATTAAATGAGCAGAAATAAAAACCCAATAAATAAGAAAAACCTTAAAACCCTAAAACCAAAGGACGAGGCTTCTAAACCTAGGGTTGAGTCGCCAGCAGAGTCGCCAGCTGTTGCAACTAGTTTTTAAATTAGAGTCATCGTCCTTAATTTTTATCCTAAGGAAGGGAGTATAAAGGAATAACCCTAAAAAAAGTTCAGAGATTCTAGGTCTGACTCGGTTCTAGACGAGGGGAAGGTGTTAGGCACCCCTTATCTACCTTGTTCACAAGGATACTAGGGTTAGAAACGTAATTTTAGGAAATAGGATTTTAATTTTTATTAGGGGAAAAAGGGTTTTATTTTAATAGGGGCAACTCGCCACGATTTTTGATCGTATGCCTACATATCCTCTTAGGAGGAATCAGAGTCTCATTTCATAGTTCACAGTTTGATTTGTATTTTTTATGGATTGCGAAGATATTCGCATTTTCCGCGCGTTTAGTCCGAGTGTCGTGAATAGCGGAGATTGTTAGACTAAACGCGCAGTCGATTTGAATAAATTCGCAATTCTTTTTGAAAGTTGATTATTGAATTAATTTGATTTTTAAAAACGAGTTTGTAGTTGGTTGAATTTTTTTTTATATATCAATTATTTAAAAAGAGATTTCTATTTAAATGCATGAATAAAAATAAACTTTAATGCAATAAATAAAAATAATATTTTAATGAATTTAAAAAATAATAATTTATGTAATAATTAATAATAATAAGTATAAAATTGAATATATTAAATATATAATACAAATATATATGATCATTATTATAATTAAAAGAAATATAAAATTATAAAAATAATAATAAAATAAATAAAATATTTGAAAAAACGTAGGGGGTGCAAAATGTATAAGGGTAGTAAAAAAATAGGGTGCTAATAGAAAGGGCCTAAATTCAGATATTGAATTCAGGCCCAAAGGCAAGGGGTATGTTTTTGTGTTATACAGTAAAAGAGGAGGCGCGTAAAGCAACATGGCCCTAGTCTAGATTTTAGACTAGGCCCAATAAGCTGGGGGATTTGAAAAACACACATGTTAGTAAAAAACAGATGAAAGGGGTGCGGATAGTATGTGCCATACCCAACGCTTTGGGAGTCCGTCTGGGTCTTGTATGGCAGTGCGTATGGAAGTTACGATGGACACGCGTATTGAGGACGTTAGATCATGATCGGAAGGTCATGATGGAGGGTATAAGGTAATGTTCGTGGATCCGCGCGCATAGAATCAATTAATATAATATATTACTTTTTTTACAAAACAGAAAAACCATTTCACTCCTATATCTCTCTTCACTCGCCTTTCCCTGTTCTTCTTTTCTCTAAATACGCCGAAAACCCTAACACCTACCTCCGGAGGCGGCGCTACCTTTCCTTCTTCTTCTTGGATACTACAATAATACGACTCACAAAACCCAACCCCCCTAAATCAAACAACAATAAAAACCTTGAGCTAAGCAAATCGTTACCTCATCGTACTCTTTTCGCTATTCTGTTCCGATTCTTGCTAACCTCGCTTTTTCGTTCGTTTCGCAGGTGCGAAGGTGACAATGAATAAGAAGTGACACGGTTGAGATTGAGGAGGAAGGTGGCGGTGAAGATTGTTCTCCTTCTGTAAATCCCCCCCTGTAAATCTCTGTAATGATTGTATTCTCTAAAATTTCTGTCCCCTTTTTACTGTTAGTTTTTTTAGGATTTTATAACAAATTAGGGACCTAGACTTTTAGGAAACAAATTAACTAGATCGTTATTTTTTATTCTGATTTAGGAAAAATGTTTATTCTATTATAATTGATTTAGGAAAATCGTTTGTAATTGATCCGGTTTTGTACAAGGTTTCAATTTGTTTTTGTATCTGTATATTGTTCTTGATTTAGTTTCTGTTTATGTTTGATCTAGTTTTGGACTGTAAAGATTGTGACAGTGTACAAACTTAAATTGTAAAGGTTTGTTATGTAAAAAGGGCAAGACTTGATTAAAAAAATAGTCAATGTAGAATAAGCGTTTTTTTCCAACGATTTGCACAGTACCTGTTACTAAATTTAAAATGTGCATTATTGTTTCAATTAACCAGTACAACGCATGATTTTTTTTGGAAGCATACACTTTTTTTTCATTGCATTGGGCCTGTTTTTTGTTTGGTTTTCATAACAAAATATTTTTAATTTGAATTGGGTTTGGTCTCTTGTAATGGATTTGGGCTGTAAAAGAGAATACTTCTATATTAACATTTTTCCTTTAAATAATAAAACATAAATTAAGTTTAAAATATGAAGATTCAATTAAAATTAATATTAGCATGATTAATAATAGTAATATTAATAATAGCGTAAAAATATTTAAGAATAATTAACAATTACAAAAATAATTAATTATAATAAGATAATGATAATGTTATAAAAAATAAAAACAATCTTTTCAAACCAAAAATTGTATGGGCCGCACAATTTTAATTATTAGGCCTTAATAGCAACGAAAAAGAAATTCTCTACACACTTCTTTCTTCAATATTCAAAATGGACTAAGAGAATTTCACATGGGCCCCTTTCTGATTTATATCAGGCCTCTAAACAACATGAGTTGCTCATACACCCTCCAAACTACCTAAAACCTAAATGAGCCTTGTGATTCAATTGTATTAGGTTTCAAACAAAATAAATTGTTTCATATACCATTCAATCTAAATGGGCCATTCTGATTTAGAAATGATCCAAGATTTCTTCAATAGCATGCATCTCTCTTTTTAACTTAAAATGGAACTCTTATTAAAGTCTAATTCCATCAGATATTGATGGTCTATTTTGGATCAATATACCCCTCTTTGATTTTAAACACCCCATAGAAATAAGAACTATATAATATGATTTATTTTAAAAAGAACCATAAATATAATATAAGGGTATGGCAAATTTGGAATATGACAATTATCCATACACTTAAAAAATTAATCAACATAATGACAAACTATATATATTAGCAATTTGAATTTTGTTATTTGTATCCATGATTCGAATTTTGAAATTCAAATTTATTGCATCATGAAAAAATCATTCAAGCATGATTCTAACCCTAATGTCCTAAATTTAAACCTAATCTAAGTAGGATAAAAAATGTATTGCATTTATATTAAATGTAACCTAATGTAGATTAATTAGAATCTATTAAAGAAATGCATTGCATGTATCAAAAATCAGAAAAATCAAGAATGAGAAATTTACTAAATGTGAGGGATGAATGTGTTTGTCTTGAATGAAAATGAGTAGAAAATAATGAAGGTGGTTTTTCTTGAATGAACAGAGGTAAAAATTGAGAGAATCTTTGAAAGAATGAAGAATTTGAATTTTTGAGAGGTTTTTTGGTGTTACTAGAGCTAATTTAAAATGTAAAAGAATAAGAGGTTTGTTTGTGTTTCTAGAGCTGATTTCAAATGTAAAAGAATGAGGGAGAGAAAGATTGATTGTGTAACTTAAATGCGTGTGTCTAAATTCCAATCTCTGAAGGAGGAATTCATAGTTCAATCTTAAGACTTATTTTCACTTGGATGTATTTACGATGAAATGATTTGTTGTATTTATTATATTGTAGTGCGTTAGAATTTCAAAATCCATACTGGAGTGTGAGAGAACTAATAAGGTTGCAACGAACAACCTTTTAATTTAGAGTTTAATATGTTTTTAGTTCCTATAAATTATCAAATTTTGTTTTTGGTCCATATAAAAAAACATGACATGTTTTAGTCTTTACAAAACAATTATGCACGTAGTGGTAGTCCCTGCCGTTAAACCGATCTGTATTTTTGAATGATTATTTTGCAGACATATTTAGAATGTTATAAAAAATTCTTTGAAAAAAAAAATTCAAAATTTGATTTCTATGTCGAGATTTTCATTACTTTTATCAATATTTCTTTTTTAATTTAAAAAATCCATATTTAATTCTTCTTATTTTAAAAAATTATAAAATTTGATAAATAAACATTTTATAGTATTCTAAACACTATGAAAAAAATTATTCAAAAATTTAAAAATTTAAGAATAATTAAATAATTTTCAAAATTTTAAAAAATAACAGAAATTAAAATCATATGAATAAAAATTTTAGATAAGAATTAAAAATAAATGTAAGATAGTTATAACGATTAAAAATATATTTAACCCTTTAATTTATAATTAATTTATAAGTGGTGCCCCACCGGAGTGAAAGACATATTCGATGAGTGAAAGTTGTTTTCATATACACAATGAGAAAAATTAGCACATATATATTCAAGTACCATACAGGTTAGAGTATAGGAGTTGATGAACAATCAGCAGTCATGTAGCAAAATACAAGTATCTCTAAATTGATAATGATGAATACTCATTACCATATATATTGGTAAAAACTCTTTCATACAAACAAAGAAAAACAAAAATTAAAACCCTTAAACATTGCTTCATATCATGTTTTTCTTCTTATGGCTTGAATATTAGTCTTAGTTACTTCCTAGCTCTCCAAGCTGTTGTTGAAAACAATGACCTATCTTGCCAACAAATTACAACACAACCATTTTCTTCTCTCATTCTGTATCCCTCACAACCATAACTCTGCAGAAACCTTCTTGCTTGTAACATACCATAATAGCTTAAAGGCACATTACCAAAACCACACAAATCAAGTCTCATAAACCACTTATCAAGCTTTTCATGTCTTTCCTTTCTTTCAGCTCCTTCACAAGCAATAATGTTCTTGATTTCCTCACCAAACAGCATTTTCTCAACCTTTAATCTCTCTACTGATGTTCTTGACACAGTTGATTCCAAACAATCGAACAATGCTGCATAAGAATATAGAGCTTCAAGCAGCCTCTCCATTAGAGTTGAACCGTTGTGATTTGAATCCTGTTCGGTAACAACCATGACTTTTGGCGATAAACTCCACAAGGCGTTGAGAAAGCTCTCTGCATTCATTGAAGCAGTTGAAGATGCTGGCGAAGACGATGACGATGCTGAATCGGGACTTGGACTATAGCCATTAATCATATCTTTTTCAAGTAAATCACCTAATGATGTGCTTTGGTTCATAAGCATGACTTTTTGAAGGTGAAGTCCATTTGAGTTTCTTGACAGAATAGGAGTTTTTCGCCTTGAGGATGATGATTCATCATCCAAAGCCAAAAGAGAATGTAATTGCAGTATAGAACTTATTGCAAGCGCTTCCCCGGTTTTCACACGAAGTTTGTCGAAATCAAGATTTTCTAGCTTGCTAACAACAGGATTGAATTGGAATGGTATATCCAATTTTTCAGCTTCTTCAGAAAGCTTATGAGCCATTTGATCCAAAACCTCTTTCTGCTGATGAATCCCTGTGATTCTCAAATGAGGAGGACCTTCGGGACGAGCACTCAAAACTTGAAAAAGTGCAATCCATTGTGCAGGTTCAGCAGCATTCAGATCAATGATATGAACCATTTTCTCACCTTCCATAGATTCAACAATAGCTTGATTTGTCATAATATAAGCCACTTTCAAGAAAGGGAAAAGCTCAAAAAAGTACTTCTGAACAAGAATCTCTTCAGAAAGCATAACGATTCTTGTGGAATTCAAGGCTCTGTGAAGTCCAGGCCAAGTTTTGAGTATCCTATCAGCAAGTGCTCCAGTGAAATATGCAGCAATTCTCTGCATAGTGTCTCCATCAGGAGAAGCAAGCTGAGAAATCTGTTCAAGTGTTGTGTTTGCATTTTCAAGACTACCAGAAGCTACATGGTTTGCACAAGTGAGTAACAAATGAATCAAATACAAACCCCTTTCTTCAGATTTCAATTCTCTACTCAGCCATGGATATGGAGATCCTATTCCTCCTATGCCAGGTGAAAGTGACATCATGGAAAATAACTGTAGAGGTGAACAAGTTACAGATGAAGACCCTTCTTCTTGAAACATAGATTCCATTCCATGTAACATGCAACAAAAATCTCAATCTTAAGAAAAAAAATATGATTTTTATAAATGATTAAATGAAGCAAAAGAACAGCGTTTAGAAAAAGGAACTGGGTATAAAATTAAGATTATTTCAAAGTCAACAACTTCTACAGATCCTACACGGAAAGTGGAGTGAGACACTTTCAAAATAAAGAAATTGATGACAAGAGTAAAAGAATTTCCAGTGATTAATGGAAAGTTTATGGAGAAAGCATGAAGAACCCTAGAAAAGGCACATTAGTAGAATGAACGAATGGAACAAGGAAAAGCTTAATCCTTAGTGGGTTTTGTAATTGAAGAAGAAAGAAGAAGAAGCCCCATGAAAAAAACAAAGCTTGGTGGTAGAAACCGTAATGGGTTGATTTAGGTTGTGTTTGATGTGGGAGTAGAAATCAATGTTTGGACTGAAGTTGTTGATCATGGCAACGTTGTCGACAATGTAATGAAGGGTCCCTTTTGTCTTTATTGTTTTGTTGTATGTAATTAGTGAGTGGAGTGTGGAATTGGTGAGAAGTGTGAGTCTAGGTTGTTTCTGTCTTTATGTCTAGAAAGTTTTGTTTGTTTTCAAAGAAAAACATCCAATTGAGATGTTTTGTTTTTGTCTTTACATGAGGTGGATAGGGAATCGAGGCTGGCCAAAGAGTTTTAAATATTCTCAAAGTTAGCAAGAGTCCAAACATGCCATAGCAAAGACAAACATTGCCCTTGGTTTTGTTTCTTAGTGGGGGAGAGAGTGAGAAATCAAAATATGGTTTTGTTTTTATATTGAAAAGCAATGACCATACAATTGGTATTATCTTTCTTTTCTATTAAGACAAACAGACAAAGATGTTAAGGAAAAATACAAAACTGGATTGTACGTTTATCTCTATTTGTGGATTCTTAGGTGGCAATTAAGAACACAACTTTGCTATCTTCCATTTTTCTTAGGAATTGACAATTCTTTTGGGAATTTACCAAACCCAAATAACATGCTAACACACTCACTTGCTTTTCTTTTTGCTTGGTTAGGTGCCGTGTAATAACCTAACATTTCTCTTCTCACCTTCTAATTACAAATTAATACCAGTCCCTTAGTTCGTTTTTAGGTTTTTTTTTATAACTTTATGTACAAAAGAAGGTGACAAATTTTACTTTTCTTTAACTAGGCTTCAATGCAATTTTAGTTTTTATGTTGGTATTCTTAATTTTTTTAGTTTTTTTAGTTTTTTTTAAATAAAAAAATCAGTTATTAGTCTCTCTTTCTCATATTATGTGGTTTTTTTTTGTCCCATTTCACTTGTTAACCAAATTTAAGACATAACATATTGAAATTAACTTCACTTATTAAATGAGATTGCCACGTCTTTAATTGTGTATTTAAGAAATATTTTTAATTTTTATGATTAATTTGAATTTTAAATTATTTTAAAATTTATGTCTATTATTATTAATTATAAAAAGAAATCAGGATAATCACTTCACTTCAAACGTAATTACTTCATTTCTCTTCATCTTCCAATAGAAACAAAATAGCAACTCCGTTCATCTTCCATTAACCAACAAACCCAAAACTGAAACCCTAACATGTTTGTGTCCGTCTCTCCATCTTCCTAACTTGTTCATGGTTATTTTCTTGTACGTGTTGAATCGGTTGCAATGAATAACCCACCAAAACTATGAAAAATGAACGAAGAAAACAAATATTTTGTCAGATATGTGATTTTATTTTTCCTTTTAAGGAACCTAAGTTAATGGGTGTTTGGATTTGTCGTTTTACTCCCTTTTACTAAAACCCTAATTTTCTATCAATTGTGTGTGGTCCCATTGTGTTTAAATTGTAGTTTGTGGTCCTATTAAATTGAAATTGGTTTTTTGTGGTCCCAATGTAATGAAACCCTAATAGTTTAATCTTACATGTTGTCCTTTTAGACTTATATGGTTATTTATAATGTTATACATGCCTGTTACTTGCCAAACCATTAGGTTAAGAATTCACCATTGGTGCATACTTGTACACACTCCTGTTAAATGGAATTTGGATGAGGAAGTGTCGAAAATGAGGTGTGAATGGGATGTTGACTACATATCTTATATAAAGGTGGGGAAGTTGATCAAAACGTGGGATATACAAATATGAAGTGCATTTGGTATTGCAATCCTAGCTTTAGCTTTGCTAGGGGACTTAGATCAATTAAAATGATGTTGATGTACTGAAATTTGTTGAAGATGTTAAAGGATATGACTTAGTTGATGCATATGTTTAGCATTATGCAAATACCGCTGATATAGTAGATGAGTTAGAGTTAGGACATGATGGGCCAAATTCTGATAATGATGATGTAGTTAAGGAAGTAGGATAGAAAAATAATCTTTTCGATAATAATTAGGTTGATGATGAGGGAGAAAAAATAATGCTTTTGACCATAATGAGCTTGATGACGAGGGAGAGAAAACCAATGCTTCTGACCATAATGAGGTTGATGATGAGGGAGGGAACAACAATGTTTTTGACCATAATGAGTTTGATGATGAGAGAGAGATAAACAATTCTTCTGACCATAATGAGGTTGATGACAAGGGAGAGAACAACAATGAATACTCTATTGACTTAGACTGGACTACAGTCTTATCGCGTCTGAGATTTTCATTGAAGCGCGAACAATAGGCAAAAAACATAGTCGCCATCAATGTTATTTATCCCGGAGAGAGGGAAAGGAAACAATGAATAAACCTAAAGGAGAGGAAAGAGCATGGTCTTACGACCAAGAGAAAAAGGTAAGGGAGTCGATTACGCGAGGGGAAGGTATTAGCATCCCTCACATCCATGGTACTCCACGGGATCCACTCAAGTTTGTTCTAATCTAAGGGTGCAAAAATCTAAGTCTAAAGCTAAATGCTATAAGGGAATATATGCAATGCAAAGTATATACAAAAAATAAGGTTTTTATTAGTTGTGCCCACCGCGGTTGCGAACCTTTAGGGCCTACGTACCACACTTCGTGCAGTGGGGGATCAGGGCACTCATAGTTCTTCTAGAAAATATTTTTATTTGTTGTGTATTTTTTACGAGAATGATGCATTAGACATTCCAAACGTCGGAATGTTGAATTGTTGGGAGCTCGTTGAAGAGGCTTAAGTCGTTGAGTTCGCTTCGTGTTGGAATGGCTAAAACACATTCGCTTTATGAAAAGAGTTTTGAGTTACGCCCTTAAGGCAAGGTGCCACATTTGATTGGTTTGTGTTTTTTTGTGAATAATAACTAATTGATCTCAAGAGAGAGATATTAGCCATGTCTCCACTTACTGATGAAAATGTTTTTGGGATTTGAACCATACAAAGGTTAAGCATGAAAAACAATAAAATCGAGAAGAAACCCGCTTAATATCCTCATTGCTTAACAAGAGTAGGATTATCATCATGTATTATTAATTGTTTTGAGTTTTTGACAAAGAAAAAAAAGGAAATTTTAGTTTTAAGAGATGCAAAAGGGGAACGAAAAAGTCTAAGGAAGACTAACCTAGTTCTAGCTCTAATGTTATCATACAATGATGAACCTAATGTTGAGATGAAAGGGAGAAATTATATCCTAAAGTTATCATGCAATGGATTGATCCTAAGGTTCTATTCAACACAAAAACGACCAAACATGAATTTAATCGTTTCATGGGATTCCTAAGGGAACATGTTAAGAAATAACAAAGCAAATATCAAAGTAATGGAAATAACATAAATGCAAAGCTAATATTTTTGTGTGATTTTTATCGAGTAAAGAAACGTGACTAAACAAAAATGATTGAAATGGTTAACTGAACTAAAGCAAATATTAGAATATATTCACAAAGAGTTCTAAATTAATTCTAAGGCTAAACCAATTAATTGAAAATAAAAAATTAAGAAAATTAAAAGAACAAAATTAAACTATTTAATAAGAACAATAAAATTTAAGAAAATTAAAAATTAAACTAAGAAAATTAAAGTAAAGGGTGTGAAGTAGAATATAGGGGGGACATATTGTAAGTTTTCGGAATGGGCTTAGAATTATTTGACATAGAAAAGCCCAAACTGTAAATAAAAAGAAAACAAAACAGGTAAAAAAACACATATATACATACTGGGCCGGACTGGGTCGGGTCCGGACCCAGCTCCACTCTAAACAAGACGGGTTGAAAAAAACTAAAAGAGATGAGAAGCGCCTCACTCTCTCTTCAACGATCAAACCTCACGTAAATATTCCCTCTGTTCTTTCAAATTATCTTCTCAACTCAACCGATTCATCTTCCTCTTAACCTTAATCTCAGTTATCATACCTCATCATCATCATCCTTCTCACTCAACATCCCTAGCTCAAGTTTCCTTTCTTGATGCAAATCGCTTCTCGTCGTCCTCCACGGTCATGCCATTCGTCCGGCTACCACGAACATACCTCTCACCACTCTCTTCTAATTCAATAACAACAACAATGACTATATCATTCTCTTCTTCCTGCGACAACAACATACTTCCTCCGATCTTTATTTCAGCTTTCACAAATAGGGAAACGATAATAAACGTGAAATATATCAAGTCTAGGTTCTATTTCAATCTCGTTGTTTCATGTCTCTTCCTCCCTCACTCAGTCATAACCAACAACAATAATCCAGCTCATCTCAATTGGCACGTCTCTCTTAATATCAACCTTGTTTTAACCATGTTTTATTGTTCATTCTACCTTTTTGGTTTTAATATTCTCAGTGATGATAATAAATTATGGTCGTCTTTTTGGTTTTAACATTCTCAGTGATGATAACAAATTATGGTTGTCTTTTGTTCAGATTTTAGTAATTTCGAATCACTCCCTAAAGAACAAAACAATAACAACATGGTTCATATTCAAATTCAATCAACAAATCAACAACAAGTTTACATAATCAACTCAGAAAAACAAGCAAGGAGATGCAAGAATGGTTGAGGAAAGGTACCTATCGGAGTCTCTCCGATGGAGTTTCGAA